GGCCACATTAAGAAGGAGCCATTGAATCTGAGTCTCAGCCCGCAGACAGCCATAGCACAGAACAAGACACACTGGACCGACTGCGATGTCCGAGTTAACCCGCCACCTGGTAACCCTCCAAGCCACGGCCTTCAGCGCCTCGCGATAGATTCAAGCGCGTCAGGTTAATTATCGTGAGGAATCCGCATTATAATGAGGAAAGAAGAGTGCTGAGGGTCATCTTCACTCCCTTCCCCACCACAGCGACAGCCTGCCGCCTAGCTGTCGGCCGCCTGAGTTACTTATATGTTAATTGAGGGTATGGCATATACGAATAATTAATCTGACCAGAAATATATCAAATACGTTAGAAAGGAAATATCTGTATATGCATGATTTTTGCATTATTTATTTTAGCCCACCGTCAGTCGACCAAATAAATAAATTGTATATTTAAGGCCCAGAAGGCCCTATCATTAAAAACTTAGTGTTGTGGTAATAACAAATACAGAGTTCGTCACCAGAGCTGCGCGTGAGCAACTGTATAACAACAGGAAGGACTAGTATGTTATACGTATTGTCAGATCCGATTTACAACGGGCCGTCAATAAGAACGGTAGTCAATAAATATCAGATAACTATGGGGAACTGAGAAAGTAGCAGTGAAAAAACTCTTATAAGGCAAATTGGCAATGCGCAAGCCATAGTTAACCTTAATCTGTGTCTTACAACTGCTACCGCAGTTTGCCGAATTTTCTGACTGTTAGCATCTTAACTGAGTTTTTTTTACAAAAAATATTAGCCAGAGATTTTACTTGTGAAAGGGCGAGGGAAAAAGGAGTTTGCCAATCAATTATCGGAAAAAAACTACGCGAAACTGGAACGCCAATGATAAAATTAGGCGAGATCCTTCAGACGGTTTAATTGGCGACGTCTGTCTGCTGTTGAATGTGGCGGGTTTCAGATTACTGAACGCATATTGGATATGAATAAGCCAAGTGCAATAAAATAGAGCAATTATCGTAACCGTCGCTGTCACCGGTCTGAGGGTCACTACTTACAGTCTGCTCTTTGTAGTGTTTGTAATGACTGTTCCATTCAGTGAACCGACAGTGGCAATCCGCAAAAAGTATGCTTCAGTGATTAATGAGCCCATTGATTAATAGTCGACGCACAAGGTTAACCGAATATCTCCTGCCTTTACGTAGTTACAGTAACTTATCTGCACTTTCTGAACCTCGTCATAAATTCAGCGAAATCCTAGTTCATAACTCCAGGTAGAGGCGAAAAGTTGAATAGACTCCAAGTATGAGCATTAAAATGTGTGTTCAACGTTTAAGTACGTTTAAATTCATTACACAGTTATCTATCACTATATTTCCGCATTTATTGGACGCAGAGCCTAGTTTTCAATAAATTTAACATTTATAGCGATAAAAAAATCGGTGTTACCACATTTAACTAACTAGAAGTTTAACCGCAATTTATGTTTCATTAGCATAATATTTAAGTAAGTACATCCATATGATTTCACAAGACTCGAAACAGAATGGGAGGCCTTGTGGATAGGAAACCAGGGGAATCTTAATTTGAATGTTTCAAATAGTAGTTCGCTTTCCCATGTGAATATTTTTGTCTGACTATAAATATAAAATTGACTTATTTGCCATATTTTCTTTGACAGAGAGCAGATTTAGCAATGCTACCCAAAATTAAGGAAAATACATAATGATGTAGCAGGGAATTCGACCCTAGTCAGATAAACAGGGCTGGACCTACAATATCCAAGTAAATTTGAGCATACCAAAAGTAAATTAATTTCCTTACTGCTGTGTTTCCTGCCAGTTACTCTTGTGGTCACATGCAACACCACTTGCCCGTGCATAATTGCGTATGTATGGTGCTTTTCCAGGATTGGTACAGAACTGGTTGTCGACGATAAAGAAGCCAGAACTGTCATTTCTCGGCCAGTCAATAGGTCTAAATAGACATGCTTGCTCACCAATAATATGCCTTACTGATCTATCTTGGTTATTGGTAGTTACATCAGGCTTGTTAAACTAAAATATTGACTTTAAAAATTCACCTCTATGCGAGGTCTTCTCTTAAGTAAATAGCAGAGCTTGGGAACCTTTTGGCTCAGAGAGCCAAGAAAGCGAATATTTGGAAATATATTTCAGTGAGTTATATAATATATTTTAAGAGTAAATTCAATTAAATGTGAATATAATAAGCCTCTGCATTTATTCTTTTAAATCACAAAATCTGAAGATTCTGATTCCAATTTTATCTGAGAGGGCCATAAGCAATCATCAAGGAGCCACACCTGGCTCGCAAGCCGTACGTTCCTGACCCCTGTCTTATATAATCATCAAAAGTGTTATATTTCTCCTTGCTGTGTTTTGCAAGATACTGGTTAGGAATTCAACAACTGCATTGTGCCCATTTATTTATACCCTACCTCCGTCTAGAAAATAACTTTCGAAAGGGACTGACATCGATACTGAGCAAGTCTTTATTTGTATATTCGACATTGTGGGCATTTTATCGATTGTTTCTTATGCAATATGTGTTACCAATGGTTACGAAGACCTACAAGACTACAGATTTTTTCGGTCACAGAATTAATAACTGATCCCGTAACACGCGTAGGAGTTTTCCCTATTGATTAAAACCCTTTGA